ACTCTTTGATGTTCCTCGTGTCCATCTCACACTATGTAAACACGCAATGCACATAAAAGGTCCAAAAATCCGGAATTCATTACCTGTGAATATAAAAGAAACAATGTCTGTTTATCAGTTCAAGACTCTTCTTAAAAACCACTTACCCACAACTAAAATACTGATTAACTGTATCTCATAAATATATAACCTGTGACCCTATCAAACTATGTTTTTTTTGTAATTACATTACCTACAAATTTGTACAACTATAAAGCCTCTTATTTGAAATACTCATTTGTACTTCATGCTGTAATTTGTTTACTGTATTTTTACCACTGAATATATCATTGCTTAGTTAAGTTAATTTTAAGCCTGACCACAATGCTTTGCATACAAGGGGCTTTTGGCATGTACACTCATCAACATCAAGGAACCTTCCCTGAGGGGCTTGTTATGCAGAGCATTTCAGGCAAATTATATCAGTTTTGTCCCAGGATGTGACCCACACCAGTTGACTAACACCCAGGTACCCAATTTATTGATGGGTGAACAGGGACAGCAGGTGCCGTATGGAAACACATCCTAATGTTTTACAGCCATACCAGGAGATCGATCTCTGGACCTCAGTGTGTGAGATGAGTGTGCTAGCGATTGAGCTACAGGACCACCAAATCGAGCTACAGGACACCCAACATCATCTTACCCTCCTGTCTTGTCACTTTTAATCTCATTGTACTCTGATTTATTTGACTTGACTTCCTCCTCAGCTTGTGATGCATTTGCACTTGATCCACCTTTGGATTCTAACAAATTTGTAGTAGGTGCAGGTAACTCCATGGAACATGTTGAACAACTTGTTCTTGGCTTACACAAATAACCCGCACATAAAAGAGAGAAGCTTACGACGACGTTTCGTCCGACCTTGAACTTTGTGACTTTTCCAATGTCCAAGTCGGACCGAAACATCGTGAAGACTTCTCTTTTTATGTGCGGGTTTTTGATAAGAATCTTCCAGTCAGTTATTGTGCCTTTTTGTTATTATTTGTTCTTGGCCTTTCAAAGAAGGGCATGAAGAACTTGCTCGGCTTCTTCGCTTCCTCCACCTCCAACTTTTGTCTCTTCCAACCTTCAGCTCCACTTTCCTTCTTTGTGAAGAAACATTTCATGGTTTTCTTGCACATTGCTTTGAAATAAGGAAATGGCACTTTTAATAAAAACATTAAATATCATAAATTTTGCATGAAATTATAGACTACCTCCTTAGTTTGCACAGGAGAATGGTCTTACTGGAAGTCAGCACTGAGCAGTGGTACTGCGAAGTATGTGGTCATGTAGCTCCCAGCAGTATTTTTACCTAATAATTTATATAAGTGGTTTAAACAATCCAAAACGGTGGGGATCCTCTCCAAGATACGATACTACGTGCCGCAAACTGCCCTTCTCGCACTATACCATTCACTTATATATCCATACCTCACCTATGCTATCTGTGCTTGGGGTTCAACTGCAGCAACACACCTAAAGCCAATAATAACCCAACAAAAAGCCGCAGTAAGAATAATCACTAAATCCTATCCCTGGCAACACACCCCCCCACTCTTCATAGATCTAAACTTACTCCCTGTTCAGAACATCCACACTTACTACTGTGCAGTATATCTACAGGACCTTAAATTCCAATATTAACCTTGACCTAAAATGCTTTCTTGATAGTTGTGACAGGATCCACAGGCACAAACATCTCTATGACATTCCCCGTGTTCGACTAAACCTTTACAAAAATTCAATGTATTTCAGAAGACCTAAAATATGGAACACCCTACCTGAAAACTCTAGAACTGCAGACACATTCATCACTTTCAAAACTACAGTTAGAAAACATCTTATCTCCCTGATACACCCCGACAACTAACTACATAATAACCACCTGGTGGTTCACAATTACACTCACTCACCCACTGACTATAAACCCAGAAATACTAATCTTAATCTTAAAATAATAAATCCTAACTAGTCATAAGTTTGCCTATGATACTCCAATATAGACACTTTGTATTGTGCCAAAACAAAAGCATTCACATTGTTAAACTCACAAATTATGATGTAGTCACTTAGCCTTAATACCATAATCTGTAAGGATTTAATGTTAAGAATTAATCTAAGTCTGCCCAAAGTGCCTAGCCAAGCTAGGTGTCCTAGTGGCCCCCTCTGTAATTAGTATTTTATAACATGTAAACCACACAATACCCAAAGCCTGTAAACCCCACATTGTAACCCTTATAGAGAATAAACTTGAATTGAATTGAATCAAGCCATCCCAATGTTTCTTACCCGTGATAATCAAACACAGATCATACATCTGAAGAAAATTCTTATTTCACTATCTGATGATGGCTTGTCTGACTTTAATAGAAACTGTTCAGTGGCACTTCCCTTTCAATTGGTGCCCAGGGCATGTGCCATACCTTAGGTACACCACTGCACCCTGCCTCCCAGGAGTCTGGGGTAAAAAAAAAAGAAGGAAAAATGTTGCCCAAATCTGGGCTAGAATCATTAAGTTTTAAATTGTGCTGCCCGAACTGCTAGTTTATTCTACACCTGCAAGTGATACTGCGAGCAGAATTGCACTTACCACATAGACCCATACTCTCATAACTAGGCCCAAATTTACCGCTTGCAGCTTATCTGAGTGAGGTGAGCTCATGGCATAGTTCGAAGGCACTGACCCAGAGTTCAAAACCACAGAACTATGGCACTGATCCTCAAGGGGTTAGGCAGAGTGCAGATTTAGGACAAGATCCTCAAGTACTTTCCAGGTATATCTTCTTTCTTCTTTCAACACACCGGCCGTATCCCACCGAGGCAGGGTGGCCCAAAAGGAAAAACGAAAGCTTCTCCTTTTACATTTAGTAATATATACAGGAGAAGGGGGGTTACTAGCCCCTTGCTCCCGGCATTTTAGTCGCCTCTTACAACACGCATGGCTTACGGAGGAAGAATTCTGTTCCACTTCCCCATGGAGGTAAGAGGAAATAAACAAGAACAAGAACTAGTAAGAAAATAGAAGAAAACCCAGAGGGGTGTGTACATATATATATGTATATGCTTGTACATGTATGTGTAGTGTGACCTAAGTGTAAGAAGAAGTAGTAAGACGTACCTGAAATCTTGCATGTTTATGAGACAGAAAAATGGACACCAGCAATCCTACCATCATGTAAAACAATTACAGGCTTTTGTTTTACACTCACTTGGCAGGACGGTAGTACCTCCCTGGGCGGTTGCTGTCTACCAACCTACTACCTAGTTCCAGGTATATATTATCATGTATTCCTCCCTCCTTGGCTTCAGTGAGTAATGGCAGTAGCTGCAGATTGCTTGCTGAACAAATTACCACACAAGTTATGAATTAGGCCACCAGGCAATTATGTCAAAGTGTAAAGTTGGCTATCAACAATTGAACAAGAGACTGTCAGACCAATTGGCCTGTTAAAAAGCAGTGATTATTCTTCTTGTGTGCATAGTAAGCACAAGGTAAATAGAATCTCATTACTAAATATTTCAGGAGGGTACATGATATATGGTACCATTTCCCTACCTAATGAAATGTGAATAGATAATTAATTAAAAGAATGTAATGACACTTAAAGTTACTACAGAAAGAGTCCCTCACTATAAGTTGTCTCTTGCTTATGATGAGTGAGAACCAGTTCATAAACTGTGGGAACTGGACACCACTGGTGTCCAGTTCCAATTGTCCAGTGACAATTTCACCTATAAGCAATATCTCAGGAATGTGAAATATGAGCTGAGACAATATTGGGTAAGACACTTGTGGAAGCTGAACAAACCTGACCTACTGATGAACTTTCTTATGGTCTATGGTCAAATGAAAGTGCAGCTTCACAAATTAAAGAAATGCCCTAAAGTACTAGCAGTTTACCATAAGATCATTCAACATAACTTGCACTTCTCACAACCTCCACCCTCTTCATACATATAACTTGCACCTTTCACTATCTCCACCCCACTCTCCCACACACAACTTGCATCTCTTACAACCTCCACTCCATACACACACAACTTGCACCTTTCACTATCTCCACCCCGCTCTCCCACACACAGCTTACACCTCTTACAACCTCCATCCCATACACACACAACTTGCACTTTTCACTACCTCCACCCTGCCCCACACACACAACTTGCATCTCTTACAATGTCTACCCTCCCCATTTGAAAAATTTGAATTCAGGAAGGATCTAGGAAAGCACTGGTTTGGTAAAAGAGTTGTGGATGAGTGGAACAAACTCCCGAGTACCATCATAGAAGCTAAGACGTTGTGTAGTTTTAAAAGTAGATTAGATAAATACATGAGTGGGTATAGGTGGGTGAGAGTTGGACCTGACTAGCTTGCACTACTAGGTCAGATGCAGTGCTCTTTCCTTAACTGAATGTGACCTGACCTGACTAGGTTAGGGTGTTGGCTTAAGCTGGTAGGAGAATTGGACCTGCCTTGCATGGGCCACTAGACCTGTTGCAGTGTTCCTTCTTTCTTATGTTCATACAAAACTTGCACCTCTCACAACCTCCACCCTCCCCACAATCATGGAAGTATTTCAATAAATATGGAAGAAAACATACTAAGTTTTTAGAGATAGATGGTAGGTAGACATGGCAGGTACCTGAAATTGTTGATAGGGGGTAAAATTATGGCATACAGCAAAGCCTGTTAACAATTTATTAAATGATCTATTCATCATATACAATTTCCAACCAACTGCACAATTTTTGAAGAGGACCTACAAAAATATCAATAAAATTGTACTTCTAACAGAACAAAAAATTTGAACATCTGCAACATCAGTACTATACAATTATATTGCAAAAGACATTTTCTCATGATGAAACATTGGTGTGAAATGAGAAACATAAAAAATTTAATTAACTACATGTATGGTAAAAGAAGGCTAATTCTGGAATGCATTTGCATATTGTTTTGCACTATTTATTTCAAGGGCTAGAGCAAGAAATACTTTACCAGTGTGTTTGAGCAAGATTGGTATGACATTTTATTAGGGACTATTCTTTACTCATACTAACAATTTTAAACTATACAATTACTTCTTTTTAAAAAACAAAAACACTTTATACAGATTTTTCACACTGTGAAAAAAAATATATATATATATACAAATGTCTTAATTTTTTTTACTATTATTACTATAAAATTTTGTGAAACATTTACTGGATGAAGCACAATCATAATATAGTTTTCTTATGTATTAGGTATCTGATTTCAGTAATAATATCCTCACATCACATTGCCTAATTTTTGCAGTGTTCTTTATCATATAATCATTTATATTTTATTGGTATTTTTCATGTGTGAGGTCCAATCTTAAATTTACATCACTGGTAATTTAATTCCTAAATTAGCATCCTGTTCTCAGCTAATGGTATCAGGTTTTGCAGATGCTGCTGCTGCTGCTGCTTCTGAAGCTGCTACAACTGCAGCACTGAACAATGCTTTCTTGTCTTCATGAGAACTTCGCCAAGAAACCTACAAGAAATCAACATCATCACTGATACATAAATTGTTAAGAAGACAAATTTTTAAATGACTTAAGAATAATTTTCAAGTTGTTTATAGCCTATGTATGACATTCTTTCATGCATTATCAGAAGAAAGGAAAGTGAATGTTTTAAATTCCTGCTTCCACTGCATGTATGAAAAGAAAGGGAATATTTATTATTATATATTTCCTAAAAAAGGATACTTACAGAAAGAAAGTAACCCTTTTAGCCATTATGACATTTGCTGATGTTCGTAGCCAGAATTTCCAGCTGTATAGACAGCTACACATTTTGGAATTTAGAAAAAATGTATGTGCTGTCTGCTGGTTGAGCTTCACTGTGTGAACATTATCTAAGCTATGGAGATAGGAGAGGCTGAAGAGAAGAGAGGAAGAAGGAAAACAAAGAGTAAGGAGTAGGAGCAGGAAGCAGAAGAAGGTATGAAAGGATTTTGGTCTACCTTTGATGAGTTTTAAGTTTTTCTACTCCCAGAGCCTGGCCTTGGGCCAGGCTTGACTGGTGCTTGCCTGGTCAGCCAGGCTGTTGCTGCTGGGAGCCTGTTGGCCCACCTATCCATCACAGCCTGGTTGATCTGGCACCTGGTGAAGATGTCCAGTTTCCTCTTGAAGACTTCTACACTTGTCCCAGCAGTGTTTCTGATATCTTCTGGCAAGATGTTGAATAGTCTGGGGTCACAGACATGAAACACTGTTTCCTTATTGTGCCCACTGTGTGCAGGTTTGGGACCAGACCCTCAAGTACTTTCCAGTGAGTTCACATTTAGGACTTTAAGGAGTTCCCACTAATTTTAATGCTTTATTGGCTATATGCAGGCTGTAAATGATCTCTGTATCTCTTCCAGCTCTGATATCTCTCGTGCCCTGAACAGGGCTATCAACACTGAACAATATTCTAAATGAGAGGATCTCACCTTCCTGGATGACAACAGAGCCATTATCACAACTGTAAGGCGAATGATAGGATGGATAATGTGAACCTTCAAAACAAGGGATGCCAAGTCAATGATGATCCTCTTTATGTCACTTGTTCTACCTAGGCTCGAATACTGCTGCACACTAACAGCCCTTTTCAAGGCAGGCAAAATTGGAGATCTGAAGAATGTACAGAGGACCTTCAGTACATGTACGACCAAATAAATATGACCTGCCAGAACTTTGCTGTAAACTATTTTGTGTTTCTACGCATTTTTTTTTTGTATTATTTGTATAAATAAGTCACCATGGGGCCTACAAAGATTAGTGATAACAGCCAACCAGACAGAAAATTGGTTGGGAAGAACTTGTTCAATACTCAAACGGAGCGGCACTCGAACAGCCTTCTGGAATGAATTAAGGTCGCATACCGAGGTTCCACTGTATTAGTTTAGTAAAGCAATTCAATTACTGGAAGGTTTGAAGGCCCTAGACCTGTACTCCTCAGAATGCAGGCAAGAAAGGTACAGTGGTCCCTCAATAATCGTCTGGCCTGATAGTTGTCCATTTCGGAAATAGTCGCGTTATTTCGTCCAGACATTGGCTCGCAAATGGTCAGTTAACTCGCTAATCGTCCTTCGTCTGGGATGCACACTCATGGGCCTACAGGCCCCGGCCTTCCTTCCCAGTCAGTGTGCCATTGTTTACAGTGAGCGACGGTCCCCTCGTGTGTTCATACAAAATATTTCATAATACAGTGGACCCTCGCCTAACGCTATTAATCTGTTCCTGAGAGCTCAACGTTAGGCGAAATTATCGTTAGGTGAATTAATTTTCCCCATAAGAAATAATGGAAATCAAATTAATCTGTGCAAGACACCCAAAAGTGTGAAAAAAATTTTTTTTACCACATGAAATATTAATTTTAATACACACAAACTGAAGAAGACATGCACAGTTACATGACACTTACCTTTACTGAAGATCTGGTGATGATTGATGGGATGGGAGGAGGGGAGTGTGTGGATGGTCTTAGTGTTTAGAAGGGGAATCCCCTTCCATTACGACTTGAGGTAGCAAGTCCTTTTCCGGGGTTACTTCCCTTCTTCTTTTAATACCACTAGGACCAGCTTGAGAGTCACTGGACTTCTGTCGCACAACATATCTGTCCATAGAGGCCTGTACCTCTCGTTCCTTTATGACTTTCCTAAAGTGTTTCACAACATTGTCAGTGTAATAGTCACCAGCACGGCTTGCAATAGGTGTGTGAGGGTGATTTTCATCCATAAAGGTTTGCACTTCAAGCCACTTTGCACATATTTCCTTAATCTTTGAAGTAGGCAACTTCTTCAATTTCTCTCTCCCCTCCTCCAAAGCAGTTTCCTCAGGTGTGGCCTCTTGCTGTTGAAGATGATCTAGCAGCTCATCAGGGGTTAGTTCTTCATTGTCCTCCTCCACCAACTCTTCCACATCCTCCCCACTAACCTCCAACCCCAAGGACTTCCCCAATGCCACAATTGATTCCTCAACTGGCATACGCTTCTCAGGGTTAGCCTCAAATCCTTCAAAATCCCTTTTGTCTACACATTCTGGCCACAGTTTCTTCCAAGCAGAGTTCAAGGTCCTCTTAGTCACTCCCTCCCAAGCCTTACCTATAAGGTTTACACAACTGAGGATATTAAAGTGATTTCTCCAAAACTCTCTTAGAGTCAATTGAGTTTCTGAGGTCACTACAAAGCACCTTTCAAACAGAGCTTTTGTGTACAGTTTTTTAAAGTTTGCAATGACCTGCTGGTCCATGGGCTGCAGGAGAGGAGTGGTATTAGGAGGCAAAAACTTGATGTTAATGAAGCTCATGTCTGCAGAAAGTCGCTCTGCCACGTCTGAAGGATGACCAGGAGGCACTTCAGGTCAAATTTATTTTCAATTAGGTAATTTTTCACAGTGGGGGGCAAATGCATGGTGTAACCAGTCATAGAAAAAGTCCCTAGTGACCCATGCCTTACTGTTTGCCCTCCACAGCACACACAAATTAGCCTTGAGGATATTCTTTTGCCTGAATGCTCTGGGAGTTTCAGAGTGATACACCAATAAAGGCTTCACTTTGCAATCACCACTAGCATTGGCACACATCAACAGAGTAAGCCTGTCTTTCATAGGCTTGTCCTGGGAGTGCCTTTTCCTCCTGAGTATTGTAGGTCCTGCTTGGCATTTTCTTCCAAAACAGGCCTGTTTTGTCACAATTAAACACTTGTTCAGGTTTCAGTCCTTCACTGTCTATGTACTCCTTGAATTGATGCACATATTTTTCAGCTGCTTTGTGGTCCGAACTGGCAGCCTCACCATGCCTTATCACACTATGTATGCCACTACGATTCTTAAATCTTTCAAACCAACCTTTGCTGGCCTTAAATTCACTCATATCACCACTAGTTGCAGGCATTTTTCTAATTAAATCCTCATGCAACTTCCTAGCCTTTTCACATATGATCGCTTGAGAGACGCTATCTCCTGCTATCTGTTTTTCGTTTATCCACACCAATAACAGTCTCTTAACATTTTCTATCACTTGCGATCTCTGTTTCGAAAACAAAGTTGCAACTTAGGCAAGAACAGCTTCCTTGATTGCCGTTTTCTTGGTCACAATAGTAGCGATGGTTGATTGGGGTTTACTATATAACCTGGCCAGCTCGGAGACACGCACTCCACTTTCATACTTAGCAATGATCTCTTTCTTCATATCCATAGTAATTCTCACCCTAGAAGCTTTCTTGGGGCCCATGGTCACTTATTTTGCAGGTGAAATCACTAAAAACGCTGTGATAATACTAAATGTTCCGATTGTATGCTTGGATGTGACTGCGGAGGCTGGCTTGTAAACACTGCCACCCATGGAACAAGTGAGGCTGGCTCAGGCTGCACGTGGACGCGTCTCGGACGAATCGCATTGGGTGAGTTTTTTAGCGCTAGGCGAGGCAAAATTTTTGTGTTAAAATGTATCGCTAGGTGGATTTAACGTTATGCGATGCCATCGTTAGGCGAGGGTTCACTGTACAGTGGACCCCCTGTTCGCGATGCTATCGGTATCCGATAAATCCGGCAGCCGATGCATTATATCGCCAAAAATTTGCCTCGGTTCCCGTTACAAAACCCAGTATGCGATGCGATTCATACGAGACGTGTCCATTCGTGGCCTGAACTGCCCCGTGTGTGCCAGTGTTTACAAGCCAGCCAGTGTGCGCGCATCTAAGGATACATTTGGTACATTCCAAATTATCCATATTATCACTGTTTTTGGTGCTTGTTTCTGCAAAATAAGTCACCATGGGCTCCAAGAAAGCTTCTAGTGCCAACCCTGTGGTAAAAAGGGTGAGAATTAGTATGAAAATTAAGAAAGATTTTGAAGGGTTTGGGGCTAACCCTGAGAAGCCTATGCCAGTTGTGAAATCCATTGTGCCTACTTCAAAAATTAAGGAAATGTGTGCAAAGTGGGTTGAACTGCAAACCTTTATGGATGAAAATCACCCTAACACAGCTATTGCAAGCCGTGCTGGTGACTATTACAATGAGAATGTTGTGGCCCATTTTAGACAAATCTTAAAGGAATGGGAGGTAAAGACCTCTATGGACAGATATGTTGTGCGACAGAAGTCCAGTGACTCTCAAGGTGGTCCTAGTGGCATTAACCCTTTGACTGTCGCAACCCCCAATCCTGAGGTGTCTCCTGGTGTCGCAAAATTTCAAAAAAAAAAAAAAAAAAAAAAATCTTATGAAATGATAGAGAATCTTTTCTCGATTGTAATGACACAAAAAAAACGAAATTTGGTGGAAAACTGACGGAATTATGCTCTCGCGAAGTTAGCGACCTCGGCGATATTCACAAATCGGCAATTTCGCCCACTTTGAGCCCTATTTTCGGCTAATTCCATTGTTCCAGTCGACCAAACTCATAGCTATTTGTTTAGAACTCCATTTTTTCTATCGATTGAGTACAAGAAACTGCGCATTTACCGATTTCAATTACCCAATAATGTGGTCAGAAATTTGCAATTTG